TTACATAGCATCTTATTAATGTAAATTTCTAATTTCTAATTATTTTAATTAATTTTTATATTTTTAAATTTTAATTAATAGTTTATATTAAAAATACTATACTTACAATATCATATAAAATTGTAAATTTATAATATAATTGTCATTATATAATTAATTTTTTTTATTTATGAGATCACTTGTAATATTATATGTATTTATTTTTTTAATATTCTATCATATTCATTAATATCCCGTAAAATTATAAATTTATAATTTTATATAATATTAGAACTATACAATTGCTAATTTTATATATTTATGGGTTAATAAAAAACAATAAAATTATAATTATGACACAATACAAAATATCATAACATTGACAAACGAAGCCATGAACACATCTTTAGTTGAAAGAATAAACGGTAGCAAGACATGATAGTTGGAAAAATCATTCAAATTTATTAATAATTAGATTTTTTTTTTTTTTGTGAAAGCGCAACCCCTGTGTTGTGCAGTTGAAATTATTGGGACTTACTTTTTTATTTAGTAATCTCTATTTTATAATTTAATATAATTTAAATTATAAAATAAAATTATTAAAAAAGATAACATGAAAAAAAAAAAAAAAAAGAGTATTGATGAACCATCAATGGTTAAAAATAGCAATCAGTATTCTCATCCCATAAAAATGCAACGTACAGTACAACTTGTTCCTGCAGTACAATTAGATCAGCATATAGCCATATCTAGGCCTGGGCACGGTATGATTTTTCTCTAACCAAAATCAAACTTTGAACTTTTTTTTTTTTTTTTTTCATTTTTAGTAAGTAAAATTGAACCAAAATTTTTATGAATTTATTAATAAATACAAAAAAATTAACAATATAACAAAATTCTAATAAAACTTCATTTTATAAAACTTATCAACTTATCAAATAATACTTTTCTAACAATTTTCTCAATAAAAACTTTTTTCTAACTAAACAGTGCAAACTTCAAGGGTTTTGGCTACAATTTCCCTCTAGTCCCAAATCGAAATCAGCATGAGAGTCGATGATTAAGGGAATGAATGATCATTGGAGATAAGATGGTAAGCGACAAAAGAGTCCAATTCAACGATTAGTTGCCGAATGTTGTGTTGACAAGCAAGGAGTCCTTCCTGGATTCCCCAAGGTTAAGATGCCAAACAGGTTGAAATGCCAATTTTGCTGCTGAAACTGGTAAACACATTCAACTGAATGATTGCGAAGGAGACCTCCACTACTAGCAGTGTTGGACCCAGACTATTCCATATGGTCGCTTATGTGAAGCTATATGCCCACATGATTTTCCGTCGTCTCATAAACTAGAAAGTTAAAGTTGACTGACTGATTATGCTTTGAAAAGGGGCTAGGCTAGTTAGATACAAATAATTAAAATGTAAGAAGTTAATAAATTATTTGTTAAACTTCGCCATGCAGAAATTAATTTCTTCTAGGTGTCAGGTGGGCCAAAAAAAAGGCCGATGGATAAGGATAAAAGCATGCACAACGGGGAGTTCCATTGATATTCTCTTCAAAATGGGAACAAAACTTCAACTTTAACACTGCTGGTGCATTTTTAAAAGAATAATAATAAAAAAA